ATATATATATATATATATATATATATAATATAATATAATATAATATAAATTTTGATTCTATAAAAATATTTTATTCATTAATTTGATCTTAATAAGTAATATTTTCTTTGCAGAATCGCTATTTTGCTGCATTTTGGACGATGAGAAAAAAATCTGTATAGAGAAATTGCATGTGCTCTGAAATGGAGGGATGTACTATGATATCACCTTTCTTTTATTTGATGAGGCTTATAATTTTCTTGGAATGATCAAAACGCTGATGATTTATTTTTTTGTTTGTTAAAAAATATGTGAATGTTTTTCATAAACTATGCAATCAATTATTGAATACTGAATACAATTTAGCGTGGTTTTTTAACATTAAATATCCATCACAAATAATATACCGTATTTTATTGTTGAACATGTAGATATAGTTTGGGATGGCCGCAGGGGATAATCATAATTGGTGTGCCAGTTAAGACTTTCTTTAGGGTAGTAATCATCAACCCATTTTTTTTTATTAAAAAATTAAAACTAAATCGGCAAAATCATTGATTTTGAAGCACTGCACAATATGTGAGGATGTGATGATCAAACTTTGGGGAAAAAAAGCAAGACATAGTTGTTGGAGGATGTGGAGGAATGGGGCATGGAAGGAGGGAAAGAAGAATAACATTAGTTGTAAATTATAAATGTAAAATGATAGCGAGATAGAGAAAGAAGTATTTCAGTATAGAATAGAGAAGGGCATGACGATAGGATGACTCATTAGGAGATATAAGGAGTTGCATGATATTGAGAGAGACACGATGTTATGAGATTTAAGATTATGAAGATAAGAGAGAATATGATGAGAATGATATAAGCGGCGTGTGTTTCTCTGAGGTTTGATATCTCCTAAAAGGACTGAAGCATGAGGTGATGTTACACCTCCTCTGGTCAGGTTTTATGTTTCTATTGAAATTGATTAGAAGCTAGTGTTAGATTCACTCGGGAGGGTAGGGTTAAGTTAATAGATGGAATTGGGGGATAGAGATTTTATCTTGACGGTATTATAGGTAGATGAGTGTGACAATGATCAGAGACCGGAATTCACACAAAGTTAATCGGGAGAACAGTTTCGCTTAACTAATCCATACCTCCACGTATATCACTCGTACGGAACAATTAACCAAGAAGATTTCCATCGTGGGTTCACGGTCATAATGGAATTATATATATATATATATATATATATATATATATATATATAGGCGTGTTTATCGTGAGTAGTTTGTATCTCCCTCAAAAGACATGAAGCTGAAGGTGATGTTTACCTCCTCTTGGTCAGGTTTTATGTTTTCACTACTTGTAAATTTGAGTAAGGGCTAGTGGTTCGTATGTCATCACTCGGACGAGGTAATTGTGTGTAGCTCGTATCTTGCTTTGGGGGATATGAGCATTTGCGTATTATTAGGTAGAGCTGGTGACAATGATCAGAGACCGAATTCCCCCAAATGTCATCGGGAGACCTTTTCGCTTAACTAATCCACTACCTTCCACGTATATCACTCGATACGGAACAATTAACCAAGATTCCATCGTGGTTCACGTCACTAATGGCAGTTGAAGGAAATAAACAGTATATAAACTACCAATCCCGAGAAAGGATAGAAACAAAAGGGAGTGAGAGAGAGAGAGAGAGAGAGAAAGAACGAATCACTTCAAGAAGAGGAACTCAGCAAAATAACAATGGCGGACAATGGTCAACTCACCCATGTTATGCAGGCAGTAGAAGAATTGAAACAACAGGCGACGACTGCCCAGCAGAGAGCAGAGGTTGGCTGCCATGAAGGCCCATGAAGAGCTGAGGAAGCAGAATCAGGAATTGCAACAAGCCCTATGACAAAGTATCACCAGACAGGATCCACCATCACTGGCGAGCCAACATCATTAGCCGTTTGTTAGGGAGGTGATCGGTGAACCAATCCTAGCATATTATATGATTCCCAAGATAAAACCATTTGAGTAGTGTTTTAAATCTCTTTTTTTAAATCAACGTTTCACGACTATTTTAGACTATCTATAATAGTTGATATATGCGTGTATGTTTAATGGAAAATGATACTTGAACAACCATTTTTGACAACATTTAGACACGTGTGCGCGTGTCTAAATGTTGTCAAAAATTGTTGTTCAAGTGTCATTTTCCATGTTTAATATATAACTTTTAGGAAAACATTTTAAAGAAGGAAAATAATAACAAGTATTTTTATGCAGTTTTGCTTCAATTTCATCTACGTCCAATTCTTCCTCAAAATCTCCTAAGAGATTTAACTAATCTTTTACAAATATTATAACGAATATAAACTACTCTTTCTATAAATCGAATATTATCAATCACTCCTGGTTTAACACTAGTCAACTTGACCAGACGTGGTATCCACACTAGACAAATTGTCTAGAATAATTAACTCCATTAAGTTAAACAATATAAGTTTTTGAATGCACTTTTGAATCTAACAAGTATATTTAGGTTCTTACAAGAGAGAAGATCCTCTCGTAGTGAGGATATATGAATAATACAATGAACTTTTGAAAACATGTAAAAGTTGTTTCTCTTTCAATAAAAAACTTTAGAAGATATAAAAAGTAGGCATGTAAGGATATAAAGAATTATTCTCTTCATTATTGTCTTCTCTTCAACGAGTCCTCTTTATATAGCCATCTTAAAGAGATAATCATTAGACATAGAGTTGACTTCCATGTAGACTTCATAGCCTTTTTAGGATATGTAGTTAGATTTAGTTCTACGTTGTAGAGTGACTGTGCTTTATTAGAGCTTTCTTCAAAAGTAGCTTGTACGATTCTTCAGAGCTTAAAGCTTTGAGGAAACATTCTTGGAATGTCTTCTTATTTCTTAACGTATTTATTTATCTGCATAGATAAAGAGAGCAAAATATACAAATAAAAAAATATTTTTTCGTACATTCAATAAATGTTTTAAACGTTAGTGATCGTTAAGCACATTGCGTGTTTAACACATATTGACACATGTCAGCTTGTTTGATAAAATCATCCTTTAGTTATGTTTAGTGAAAATTGTGTTCAGAAGCTTTATCCTTTTTACCAAATGATATCTATATATATATATATATATATATATATATATATATACACACACGTACGTATGTATATGTGTATGTATTGAAAATGTAATTTTCATAAAACATTACAAATATTTATTTCATTCAACACATATTTTGTTCAACGTTATTCATCGCAAGTACAATCTTTAAAAACTTTACTCAATAAACAATATTTTATTGAGTATTGTATGTTAAATTTCAAAACATGGGTTGCTAAACTATTTAGTTTCTCTTGACGATCTTGTGTTAAGAATATTTCCCTTTTTAATGTTTAACAAATACACATGCTAAACGAAATATATCTATGAGGATTTTGAAATAGTTAAACTATATTTGATCAGATATATTAGACTATATAGTTTTAAGCGTTTAATCATTTCATAGTTTAAGCGAAATATGTCAAAGAGTTTAATAAGATTAAGCATGATGTATCAGAGTTGTAGTTTGTGCACTATTCATTAGAATAATTAACAAGATCAAATATAAATAAGAGCATATTTAATAGTTGTGCTTTGGTAGGGTTAGTCATCACAAGAATATCAAGAAGGTACTGCTAAGAATGATGTATGACTTTCGTAAGTCATAAACCATTTGTGTAATGCATATCTATATTTGATGGCAATGCTCTAGCTAGAACAAGCCAAATCTAGAAGCAACCAAGCCAACAAGAACAAGATGCTCAAGGTTTTAGATGGAATGCACAATGATGGTGGTATAAGGTGGAGTTGTCAAGTTTTTGGGGTGTTTAAATGGTGATGGAAGGTGTGTTTGGTGGTTCTCTAAGAGAGGTTGGGCCAACTCTTAGAGGAAGGTGGCTAGAGGAGGCAACTTGGGTTGCTCTAGCCTAGGAGACCTTAAAGAGTAGTATAGCACAAAAATGGCAAACATAACTTTACTCTAAATCAAAGGTGATTACATAAGGAGAACACCTCTATTTATAGGCTAAGGTGTCTCAAAATGGGCTGAAAACTTTAACCTAAAAGAGCCACCTTGGTTGTCTTAGAGAGCAAGGAGAAATCCTCTCCAATAAGAGGGAGATAAGTGGCAAACATCCTCTCAAATGAGAGAGTGACAAGTGGCCACTACCTATGGAAAAACTCTCCATTCCTAGAGTGACACATGACCACTAAATAGGAGGAAAACTCTCCAATGGGAAGCTTCCACATTTCTAGGACGAAATTCTTCTCCCTTGTTCTCCAAGCTTAGCCAAAATGTTGACCCCTTGGTCAACACACCCATTTTGGAATCAAGCATAGTAAAATGTGGGCCTTGGCACTTTGTTGACTTGTTGGTCACAATCCTATGCTACGTGGCCTAAAATTATAGGGGCCATTGAAATCGTACCACTACTAGGCCC